GTGTGAAGATTCCAGGTTGAATTTACAGCACTAAAGTTCAGTAAATCCACTTTTCTATGCAGAAGTGAAGCCAAAGGGCAGCAGATACCAAGCACCGTGTTTCCAAATTTTAGAAAGGGAGTTGATTTTCATGAAAAAAAAAAAAATAGTAAAAATACATATGTGAAGTTCTACCTTCACTCAGTTACTGCCCAAGGGCAGTTGCATTGCCTCTGCCCCCTGAAACTAGTTCATGCCCCGTCCTGAGCCCATTTAGACCTCTCAATCACACCACAGTGCATTTGTACCACAGCACAGAAACCAGCAGGATAAAGCTACATGGGACAGTAGAGTGACATGGTTAAATCATATTATTGTTATTGCTAATTTGTTGTTGCTGTGTGCAGTTACCATGTCATTAGTGAGAGCTGTGTATGGGGACCCAGGGAATATTCCCTGTGCCAGTATAAACCCTCTACAGAGGTACTTTAGTCCCCTTAAGGCCAGTGCCTGCATAGGTGTTGAAGACACTGCTATCGCAGCACAGCAGTCTCCCATTGCTATAAAAATTCTCCACTGTGCATGCAAGGTTCTTTTGACACTTACAAACCCTTTATTCTAGTGGCAATCAGAAGTCTAATCTTTTGCTTTTTTTTTTTAACCCTGTCTGTTCCTGAGGGATTGAGCACTGGAGGGACTGTTCCTGAGCACTGAAAAAAAAAAAATAACCTGGTTTGGTTTCACCACCTCAAGTCCATAGACTAAGAACCCCGAAAACCATCTGCTGCCTCTGTCCAGGCTGCACACTGAGCCCAGCTGGAGCCAAGGGACAGGGAGCAGGTGACACAGGACAAGCAGGTCATGCCAAGGTCCAAGGCAAAGACCTTTCATCTACTTAATTGCCAATTAATTATTGCTCCTTTTAGTCAAGACAATAAGTGAAAACAGAGAATGAAGTTTGGCTTAGATTCTTTAAAAAAAAAAAAAAGATGCTACAAAGAAGGTAATTAAATGCTTTCATTGATGGAAAAGTTTTTGCAGTTGAGCTTACCAAGGACTGAAATTTCCTACCTTGCTCCACCACATCTATAAAGTAGTTTTCCCCTACCCTCCTACCAAGGGAAAATGTCCAGCTATAACTGGGGAGCAATGGGCTCATGAATGTGCCTCGTGGTGGGAAAAAGGACTCCATATGCAGTGGGGACCCAGTGGGGTTGCAGAGGGGACTGTGCTCCTCTCTACTGTGAGGTGCCAGGCTGGGCTGGGAGGAGCAGCTGGCATTGCACAGGAAGGGACACGCAGGAGATGGGGATGAGGTGCAGGGAGACAGAGATGAACGCAAACACCAGTGGTGCCAGGCAAGGAAAGCCAAACTGAGACATGGACAGCCCTTGGTAGTGACTGCTGACGAGGAGGTTAGGGCCACATAAATCTTGATTTCTTTGTTTTCCCCTCATCAGCACAAAGGAAACAAAATACAAGTTGTTACGCAACTTTGGAATGAAGCCAGCTTTATGAATCATGGCATGCTGCCTTCCTGCCAGAAAATGCTGCCTTGGGTCTCCTCCTGTGCTCCTTGAGATAAGGCTCTGCCTTCCCCTGCCTTAACTCTCCCTGGCATTTGGCCTTCCTCCCTTCCCTCTGCTCCCAAAACTGATGGCTACATTTTTTGGCAGGGCCCTTTGATAAACACAGTGGGGTTCAGCAAAACCTTTAATCACCCACCGAGAGCCCTTCAGCCTCAATGCTCGGTCAAGAACATTTCACGAATGTCCTTCACAAATAGCAAGAGCAAAGTGTTAGCCTGAAAGCAGCAAATTCCTCAGACTGCACAGCCCCATATCTTACAAGATCTGGTGCATTTGTGAAGCCGTGGTCAGGAAGTGGCATTATGTGCCGATCTGTGTCACCTGCAGCGGCCACCGACGGCCCCCTGCCCTCTCACCATGAGCTCCACGTCCCCGCTCCTTCCCCTGCCCAAACCACGAGCTGGTGAGAAGTTACACATTTTGCTGGAAGGCAAAGCTGCTGTGAATGGTTGGGTAGCAGTATTGGTGGTTGGTCTTAGCATGTGACAGATGCCAGGCAGCTTATTCCTCAAGCAAACACAGTGAGATGCCTCCTTGTGTTGCAGGGCAGAGCTATGCCAATTTTCCCATGGCCAATTGTCCCAGTATCTAAGGCAAATAGGGACCATTTGGGTTATCTAGTTTTTGCAGGAAACACAAACTAAAGGATTAATCAGTGAAGGAGCTGCTGGAGCTGTGTAGCAAGAGGAGATGAAGTGCCAAAGGTGAAGCCATCCATGAATATGGCTTGTGAACCCTTCAGAGCTGTTAGCTCTCCTTCCTGGAATTGCCATATTGCAAATAATGGACCAAAAGAAATAAAATGAGATGGGCTAATCTGCAGCACATGTGCTTCTCCTCATGGGACAGCAGCCTGCCCTGGTTATCTTTCTACACATGGTACGCAGTAAGACCACTGAGGTTTTTCCTGACCAACCAGCTAAAACATCTACCTAATTACACTCTGGGCAGACTGAAAACAACAAATGGAGATCTGTCAGCATGTTTTGTCTCACCCTTTTAGGAACAAGTCTCTGAGGTTTTTTCAGAAACCATTTTTAAGAGGCTTTTCCTCTCCCTTCCCTTCCAAGTGGCCCAGTCACTTTTGTTGGATTAAAGTGCAGTCAAGCATTACAAAAGCAGGGATATGTTTAGTTTCCAGCCCAGGTTCTAATTTGTGAGTGGTAATTCCAGTTGTTTGTCCTTCTACAGGACTGTAATTGCTTTTTATCAGCAGAGTCCCATCTGCTGAGGATCTGCTGGGCAATGCCCTGGCTGTGAGATATGCCCTGATATTGTGCTGCAACATCAGATTATGAGGAGGTTCCATTCCTGAAGTATGTGATTAAAAGGAACACAGTAGGTGATGAGAGCTACAGGACAACTACACAAAGCTCCTTGAGAATGCTGGACCCTGTCTTTAATCAGAGTCCAGAAAGGTATCAACAAAAACCAGTCTGCAGGGAAAGAGCAGAGCCTGTGGCTGGCACAGCATCGCTTCCTAGAGCCTCAGAGGAGGAATGCATGTGGTTAAACCCCGGGACTTCAAAGGAATAAGATGAAGGAGGGTTCAATGCTAGCAAAATTGAAGGTTTTTATAGGATATAAATGGCTTTGTGTCTCATCAAAAGGGTAGAAGTCCCAGGGGCGGAACAAATGATAGAGGAGGTTTTGGAGAAGAGACAGAGGAAGCCAAGTCTGAAAGAAAAAAGTGAATAGATAAGAATGAAAGGAAATGGATGGTGAAAATGGGGTGCAATAAGGTCTTCTAAGGCTTGCCAATACTCTTGAGAGTTAATAGGTATTTCCATTTTGTGGAGCTTTAAAGCCTTGGGTTTATGATATAAAAGAGAGAGACCCAGAGAGACCTACACAGGCAGTTGTTGTCTGCAGGAGACAGTCCTGGCAGTAAATCCAGAGACACTGCTTAAACTGTGAGCAAAACCAAATACAAAGACCCAAATGCACAAGCAAAGTTCAGCAAGAGCAATGTGAGACCACACTGTAATAATTTCCTTCTCTTGCCTCAAGGCCAAGTATACAAAAGCAAAACACCCAGCCAGTCATGCAAGAATGAGGTTTGAGGAGCCTTGAGGCCTCTCTGTTTCGAGGCTGTTTGACAGTACACTGTGGCAAACCTCACCCCATCTCCAGAGGCATCAGCTGCTTCCCCATTTTAGGCTGAATGTGATGATGTAAAATAGCAAAGGAGCAGCAGTGGGGGTTGGCACAGTGATGGGGATGGCTGCTGCCAGCGGGGCAGAGCTGCAGGGTCGTGATGATGGAGGGAGCAAGAGGCAAGAGGGAGCTGGGGAGTGAAAGACACAAAGGGTTGGGGTCCAAGGGAGGGTAAGAAGGTTGCTGAAGTCTTGCTGTCTCTGAGTGTTAACCTGTGACAGGTACAGTGGAGCAGCTGAAGTTCACTGACAGTCACCTGTGTTTGAAAAACAGACGGTTTGCAGTGTGTTGGTGTTCTTAGGTCTCACCGATTTCCGTCACGGTGTCCCAAAGTGAGCTGGGAGACAGCTAGTGTTTAATCCCTACTGAAAATGAATCAAAACAGGAAACCCAGCTGGTTAGCTTGCCTCTGAAGAGCAAATGCATGTGTAGTGAATTCTGCAGAAGCATCAGATACTGAGCCTCAGCTCCGTTCCCACCCACTGTGTGCAGGCATCACCTCGCCCCTCTCTTGCAAAAGCTCAGTGCCACTGGCCAAGGAGCTGTAGGGTGAGAATCCCATAGGAAATAGGTACTGAGGTAGCTGAGATATCTGGATGTCTTTTCTTCTCATACCCATTCCCAACTGCCCACACTGTGATCAAGGTATCTGGCATATGGTGAATAATAACACAGCAGAGGCTGCCAGAAAAAGAGCTTTGTGAGAAAGTTTTTGAGGATATTATTTATTTCAAAATTTCCTGTTATTTTTTTCTTAGCTGAAAAGCTGGACAAAACAAAAACAGAAAAGTGTTGTGGTCTTTGGAAAACAGATGCAGTAAAAATGTACATTTTTGATAAAATTCATAGTTTTGAAATGCTCATTACTCAAACTTTTTTTAATAAATTATTTATTGTTTTCTATTTTTTCAGTATGAAAGAGTAGTGTTAGTAAACTAAACATGTAAGGAAAACAGACCTTTTCGGTTAAAAGAGCACTTCATTTTTTTGGAAGAAAAAAAGTAGAAGCTGAATTTCAACCAAAGTTTTTGACTGGTTCTCTAAGAATCCTTGTACTGAAGTGAAGTATATATATGTGCATATATGTATGAGTATGAGCAAAACATGTAAGGTGCCATATATGAGATGCTTTGTACTTTTAAATGTCTTATATAATCAGTTAATTTGCTTCTGCTCCATTAAAATTAAATCTCCCACAGACATGACAGTCTTGTCTAATTATTCACTTAATGCACAATCATTAGCATCAACCAAGTGCTTTTCTCTGTCTTTTAGAAAAAAAGGACTTTGAAGGGTTCTGTGGAACTTTCCAGGATTAAATGTGTGGAAATTGTGAAAAGTGACATCATCATTCCCTGTCAGTATAAATACCCTTTCCAGGTGAGTCTGTCTGTTGACCATACTGATAGAGATATCACTTCTATATATTTCAATAAAATTCTCCCTCACAGTGCAGTTGTTAATGAACCCAACACCAGGGTGAATAACAACGAAGGGAGAAAAAGCAGATTGAGGTTGGAATTGAACAGGGGAGTCAGAGTGTCACTACAAGATCCATAAACCCTTACACTCATTGGCTTTAAATTGGAAAGGATCATCAGATAGAATGCTATCCCATGTTTAACACAACATTCAGCTGTCCCACCGACTCATGTTCAGAAACAAAACATCTTTCACATGGGGAATTCACTCAGGATTTTGTTCATTTTAGCTGTGTGGTACTGAAACTGAATACACATGAAATGAGTGATTTTGGGCAGCTGCTCATGCTCATGGCTACATCTTTGGGAGACCTGCTTACTGCATATTTTGAAATCTGCCTTTGATTGTCAAAACATTATACAGACCTGACAATAATATCAATAGGAGTAACTTTGGTGGGAGTTATTTCTCCCTTTTTTCTATTTTATTGCTCTGTAGCATGCAAAGCAACTGCATCACTCTTCAAGGACTTCAGACTGAGATAGAAAATGTTTTCTGTTCTTTAGACAGTAATCAATATTGCCTTATCTACACCTCTGCAGAAACTTTAAAAATCAGCTACTGTCTTGTAGAAGCCTCTGTTTAAAGACAGTGGTCAAAGTTTTTCAAAGCATTTGTGAATCAATGAGCCCAGGTCCCATTTGGCATGAAATTGCTGAGGTAAACATTGAAAGAGAACTGTAGATTATGCATTACATCAAATATTAGGCCCAAATATAGTAATTTGATTCAGTTTCTGATTCATTTCCGTTCTTGTGATGATTTTACTCCCTGGTCTGAAACTTCACAAGCTTTCTGTATTTCTCTCATTTGTTTGTTTGTAATTAAGCGAAGTTGATGAAAATGGCTTCTGGATTGCTCATTGTTCATCTGCTCCAGCTTCTTACTTCCCCTCTATAAACCTACTGAAAGATATTAAATACATTGAAAAACAATAGTATTCAAATAATCTCCAGGGAGTTGCTTGAGATTTATACTGACACACAAAAAAATTTGGCTCTTAGATCTCAAGTGAAGGTATCTCATAAGGAACTGCTAAAAAACTCCATTTTCCCAGAGAAATGGAGTTTTAGAAGGATAAACTGCAGCCAGTGAGTAATGGGCTAAATCCTCTGCAGGCTGGAATTGCTCCATCTCTGTTGATTTCACAGGCATTTCTTAACAGCATAAAAGTGATCTAAAACAGTGCTTGTCTAGAATTCTTTCTTGATAAGAATTTCCATTCCATTTTAAATAGCAAAAAGTGGATGAGCTTAAGAGATGCTTCTGAACAGGCCCTGTCACTCCACTTCCCCACATCATCATTTTGTGTGTAACTTGTTGGTAAGAGGGCTGCTGCCTGTTTCCTTTGGTGACTCCATTGTGCCCAGAGTATCTGGGATTGCTTCTCATGGCTGGCTCCCTTCTTTACTCCCCTCTCCAGATCGTCCACGATAGCTACATACTCTACGTGTTTGCACCCAACCGTGAGAGCCGGCAGAGATGGGTCTTCACGCTGAAGGAAGGTAATAAAACCCCTGTGCACACCTACTCATTGAAGTTACTTTTGTCTGACCGGTTTTCTCACAAGCTATAATGCAGAGAAAATGTGCAAGAGGAGTCAATGTCTTGTATCTGAGCAGGCAAAGTGGTAATGCGTTATAAACTCAAATTGCTTGTAAATTTGGTGGGTGTGTTTTCAGCAGCAGAGGAAAATGTGGACAGGGAGTGCTTTATTTGGGGGCCTTATCAATGTCTGTAAGTGTTTGAAGGGAGGGTAACAAGAGGCTGGAGCCAGGCTCTGCTCAGTGGTGCCCAACAATAGGACAAGAGGTGATGGGCAGAACTGATACATGGGAAGTTCCACCTGAACATGAGGAAGAGCTTCGTTCCTGTGCAGTGACCAAGCACTGGAACAGATTGCCCAGAGAGGCTGTGGAATCTCCCTCACAGGAGAAATTCCAGAACAGTCTGGACACAATCCTGTGCCCTGTGCTCTGGGATGACCCTGCCCAGATGAGCCACTGTGGTCCCTTTCCAACCTGAACCATCCTGTGATTCTGTAATTTGAGGTTTCTTATTCAGCAAGAGACAAGCATTTTACTACGGCTAATTTTTTTAAATAATCCTTTCTACATGAAAGATTTTTTGCCTCTTATTAATAGATTTGTTTGTTTGTTTGTTTGATGACAATCTTCTTAGAGAATCATGACTATTAAGAAACATTTTTGCGGGCAGCTTTCATTTCCTGTTCCCCTCCTGAATTGTGCTGTGGTTCGCTGCCGTGGTGCTGAAGTGAAGGCACAGCACTGAACCACTGCAGGCAGACACGAAGCACAGTGCTTGATGTAAGGGTGGTGTTACTTAGTTACATGAAACTGCACCAGGCTTCTGTCACAGCTTTTTCCTGCTTTATAGCATGAGCTGCTGTATTGGTCCCTCTGAAAACATTGGGCCTGACGGAGGTGTCAGGAAGTTCATGCAACTGACTCTTGCAACCTGCTCCAAGCTTCTACTTCATCACCTCTTCTCATTCAACATTTTGAGACTGTTCCCTCCCTTGGACAATTTGAACAGTCTCTTGAAACAGGCCTGAAGAATTTTTCTGTTCATGAAAGTTATGATTACAGATAGAGAGCCTGAGTTTAAAAAGAGAACTTTAATCACTCGTGCAGATATTCAAGACTGGTATTTACAAGTGCAAAAAAATGTTTAGTGCTGGTGAATGCCAGCTTGTACAGCTCCTTCTGAACACCAACACAAAATAGCAAGTGTGCTGGGAATCATCAATATATGGCCTGAAAGGTTTTATTTCTTTTTATGTGACCTTCCTTCTCTGGTTTTGGTGTTTTATCATTTTAAAGAGAGTCATACTGGTAGGATTCTGTTCTACCACAGTAGAGAGATAAGGGCTCCACCACCACCTGGGAGGCTGTTCCTCCACATCAATGGTGCCATTCACTCCTTCTGGCAGAAAGGAAGACTTTAATGGAGGAGGTTGATAATGTTCACCAAAGCTTAGTTTGACAAGAATAAGAAGTTTCTTTAAAGCACAGATTATTTCCATTTAGTTCTAGATGTCTTTTAGGGCTGATGTGGATGCAGATAAATTAATTTCCCCCCTTCTCCTTCCCCTAATGTTTTCCAGAAACTAGAAACAACAACAGCTTGGTTTCAAAGTGTCATCCAGATTTTTGGTTAGATGGCAAGTGGAGATGCTGTGCTCAGACAGAGAAGATGGCACTTGGCTGTGTGGAGTATGATCCCTCCAAAAATGGTATGGGATTTGTTAAGACCATCCTGACCTTGCAAATACTTATTCCTAGCAAAAGTGAAGGATCAAATCTGTCTTGTATAGAACATCAAAAAATACGGTGTTACATTTCCATCAAGAAACATGTTGCTGCAGGACATCCTATTTTGTTCTAACCATATTTCCTCTGTGGCTTCAGTGGCCAAGAGTAATCCTGACTTTGTCTCTCGAAAACACATATAAGTGGTAAATCATTCCTCTCCCAATAAACTTTTGCCTTGTGTCTGGGTGATTCCTTAAGCAATCTGAACCCCAGTTTCAAACCCCTGCTGTGTGGCTGAGATTCACTGTGTAGGTGCAGCTGCCATGTCTTGCTCTAAAAGTCCAAGGCTTGCTATTCACTGGGTTTGTATCACTTGTATCCATTCTTTACATTGATGGTTTCGCCACTGGTTTTGTCCTGATCAACTTCAAATTATCTTTCTTGATTTAATTTCAGCCTCAAAGAAGCCTCTTCCTCCCACTCCTGAAGATAACTGGGTGAGTGCAGTGAGGCATGTTAAGCTGTCCTTAGTGTCCTGTCCTGTGTGATTAACTACCTGTAGGGGATGTGTCCTCATTAAGGTTCACCACAGTGCAGTGACCTAGAATTTCACCTGTGATAACATTCCCTGGGCATTTTCTGTGCAACTGAAATTTTTATATGAAATTCATTGTTTGAAAGTGGTAAAGATTCTCACATTGCCACCATACCCCACTAGATGCTCTGGAGTGCTTTCCTAGCCTTGAGGCTTTTGAGCCCAGAGGACACCAGTGCTGCCAGGAAAATATAATTTTAGAGAGTATGCCATTGGTTTTTATGAATATGATGAGCCTTTTGCCTTGTTTGTGCAGGAATTGTTTCTATACCCCAAGGAAGCCTTGGTCATAGCCATATATGACTATGAAGCCCAGAATCCACAGGAGCTGACTTTACAATATAACGAGGAATATTATGTGATTGACAGCTCTGAGGAACATTGGTGGCTGATTCAAGATAAGAATGGGTAAGTCCCTTTTCAACAGCCAGTTTACAAATCCTTTCTAAATCCAATTTGTTCTTCCATTAACACACATGCTGGCTCCCTGTTCAACTTTTGCGAAGCATCTTCTAACATACAGGGAAAAAATGATGGAAGGTTATTTAGGTTAACTGTCTTCCCTTTAATGTTGCTTGTGTTCAGGCAGCTGGAGAAAAGTGAATTTTAAAGAAATAAACAGTCCTTGTCTCAGGCTGATATTTGCTGTGATACACGTAGGGGAAAAAATTGTGAAACTCCCCAGAAGTTTAGAGGTGCAATCAGTTGTTTTCTTCTCCAGTAACCCTGCTAAATACATAACAACCAGCACTGCTATCATGCAATGAGCAGGCAAATCTTTCAAGGCTGACTCCTACAGATGCAGAGAAAATCCTGTCTGTCAGCACACTCACACTGTGTTGCATCTCAACAGGCACGAAGGCTACGTGCCAAGCAGCTACCTGGTGGAAAAATCACCCGAGAATCTGCAAATGTATGAGTAAGTTGTGCCTATGTTTTTCTTGTACCTCTGAGTGCCCTGGATTTGAAGCTCCAAGCCTCAAATGCCCCTACTCCAGACCACATGTCAGCACTGGCCCTGGGGACACTCAATTCAGCTTTTCAGCAGAAACCTTCCTAGCCTGGAAACGCTGACTCAGAGTCTTCTGATGTTTTCAGGTGGTACAACAAGAACATCAGCAGAAGCAAAGCAGAAGCTCTCCTCAGGGATGAGGTAAACCAGTGTTATGTATGAGGTGGATGGGAAATACTAATTAATTAATGACAAATGAAGCCTGCAAGGGCTGCTCTGTGTAAGAGAGCTGAACCCTGGGTTCCTACTGCATTACTGGCCTTAGTGTGAGATGTCAGATGAAGGACCACCAGCACCACCCCCTTACCTCCATGTTTGCTGAGCAAACATGGGCAGAGAGCTGTGCCAACTTGTTTTAGCCAAACACACACAATAGCTGTGGCTAGTAGAAAACACTGCTTCAGAACACTGTGTCAATTGAAAACTGTGATATTAGCTCATCTTTTCAGTCTCTGCAGGAGGCCTGTGGATGCCATTAGTTCTCTGAAAATTTAAGCGAAATCATGCTGAAATATTTTGGATAAAAGCCAAAAGTATGGGTTTGGAGTTTGTTTTTAGTTTTGTATGTCTGAGTGCATGTGAGCACACATCTTTAATTTTTCAGTTGAGCCAGAGCTTTCCAGTGAAAACTGTATTGAAAATATAAAGAATAACCTTCTTGTTCAGATTTTCCACACAAACACAACCTCAGTTTTTAAACAAGCTCTTATGCTAACAGGTGCCCCAAATAGATGTTGTTGCTTGGAATGACAGTATTTTATGGAAATAAAAGTAGTTTTGTGTGGTTTTAAAAATTCTTCTAGCTCCTATAAACTACTACAGGACATGTCCACACACGGTTTAATAATCTTATTTTTCCTCTTGGTCCTACCAGCACAACTTTTCTATGGCAACTACCCCCATGTGGCTGCAGAGGCTTCTGGTTCAAAGCTTTGCAACCCTCACAGCTCCCCCAAAAAATGTGGTCAAGCTTGAGAGTGATCTTTGGCCAGGCTTGGTGTCAAGTGAGAAAGAAGGACAAAAATATAGCTTAAAGAAACTCAGGCAGGATGCTGTCACCAAAACTTGCCTACCTTCGATACTTGCCAGGGAAATGAGTCCTGAAGCCCTCACTGTGCAGCACAGAGACCCTTTTCAGATCTTCCCTATGCTGGATATTGCATTGTGCAGATCCTGGAGCTGATCAGTCCTCTGGGGAGGTGGGAAGAGGTCCAAGGGAGGGTGCACTTGGTGCATTAGGTTTCCATGAAGTGTTGTGGGTGAGTAGAAGGCATATAAAATGGAGGAAACCTACCATGTAAAGCAAAGGAGGGAATGAAATAATCAGGCACTTGGGATGCCAGATGAAAAGCATCTTTATCTGCAAACGGAAGTAAAACATGTTTTTATTATCAATATATAGGCCAGTGCAGCAAGTTCTATCAAAACTATGTTAAACCTCCTCCACTGCCATTGGATCCATCAGTGTCTGGCCCTGAGGGACCATGGCCTGAGACATGTTAGCATTGAGATGAGTAGAAAACAATCATAACAAAAAGCTAAAAAGGAAAATTATTCTGTGAGTGCCAGAGTGCAGGAAGCTTTCCTACACATTTATGTTTAGATACTGGATGACTGGTGTACCTATGAAAGGGCAGCATCATGTCCAAGCTTTTCCCATTTGTGGTACGTTGGTAAATTATCTTTCATACACGCCCATATGGATTCTCTGGTGTTGGATAAACTGTGCTCTCATTCTGTAGCTGCTCAACAGAGAGCACTCAGAGGGGTTTGCCTTTCCACTCGGATGCACATTTCATTGAACACATGTTCTGTGAAATAGGGTTGAAGGCAATCAATGGGTTCAGAATTTCTAGGAGTGGCCACATGAACTCAACATAAGTGCCTGAGTCTCATTTCCTCTGAGAGCTCTGAGAGGAAACTGAGCTAAAAGCACAGAGCACCCAAGAGACACCAGTGGGGTTACCTGCAGGCCCTGGGCAGCCACCAGAGCTGTGCGTGGGACACCCCAAGCTCTGTCAGTGGGCTGAGGCTCTTTTTTTCCCTACACATTTAGCACATCCTCATGACTGAGCAGTAGACAGGGCTGAAATTAGCACAGCTTTGCCCCCAGCCTGCTTCTTTTTTTCCATTATGTCTCTAACCGGTTTTCTCTCCTTTGCTCCTGTTCCAGGGTAGGGAAGGCGCCTTCATGGTGAGAGATTCGAGGCAGCCTGGCATGTACACAGTCTCTGTTTTCACCAAAGCATTAAGGTACAGCTGAGCTCAGCAGCTTTTCACATCAATTACATCAATGAAACGGCTTCTGTGAGTGTGTAATCTCTGTATAGTTGTTTTGGCATTATAACGAGAGAGCAGAAGGCTCATGAAAATGATAGAGGAAAACACTTCCAAAAAAGGCAGAGAGTCAGCTGCCAGTTGCAAAGTGTTTTAAAGGCTCCACTTCTCCCTGCATCTAAATATGTGCCTATAAATAGTGCCTTAGACATCACTGGGGTTGTAATTCTGATGAGATTGTCCCTGCAGCTGAAGTGTCCATGGGATCAACATGGACTGTGTGCTGGACTCATCAGAGGTGGGTAGCACAAGATTAGTGAAAGGGTTTCAGTAATGGGGCAGAAGCTTTTGTTTCACAAAGAAGAGGCGGAGAAACTTATACTTAACCTTGTCTTATCAGGAAACCTCAGCCTTTCTAGAGATGAGACCATCTATGAGTGAAAAGGAAAACATACAAGTACACAGACTTAATTAGCAACTGCACTCACTCCTTGCTCCTCTCCCATTCATTCCGGGGGAAGGTTTTCCCCTTTTCTCACTTACTACTCTTCTGTTTATACCCCAGATTCCTGTCTTTGTGCTGCAACCTAGTTTTCCTCAAAGAAAACCTCCTCTCTTTTCAGCACAGACAACAATCCTGTTATAAAGCATTATCACATCAATGAGACAACTGACTTTCCCAAGCGGTATTACTTGGCAGAAAAGCACGTGTTTGACTGCATCCCTGACCTCATCAACTACCACCAGCACAACGCAGGAGGTGAGTGAAGGCCAAAGCTGACCAGGGAAGTTGTTGGGTTACCCCGTGCAGCCAGGTGGCTGTTTTGAGTGAAGGAAGGCTCCCAAGCCCTCTGTCCTCACAATGAAGTGCTAAATGGCATCACCTCTTCTTCCACTTATCCTGGCACTTGGATGGCAGAAAAATGACCATTTCAGGCCAGTTTCCACTTCTAGCATTACATCTTCACTCTAGTTGTCCTTCTAAGGCTGACTGTGGCCAACACAGATGCCATAATGACATACCATGGAGAGCCCTGGAAGTGGATCACCACTGCCAGGCCAAGCTACCTGTTTGAATTACACAGCAGGGCCTTCTTGCCCTGGAGGTGATATATCCCTGGACCTTGATTTGACACAAAGTCAGGGACATGGCCAGGATCCACAGCCAGACATGGGAGTCACCAAAGACTCCCATCCCTACAGTGCAGGAGTACTACAGGAAACCCTAGACTTCAAAAATACCCTAAAAATAAAAGGTATAATTTGGAAATTCATCAGAATTAATAGAGACTCACAGCTCACATTTGCTGACAGAGCGAAAATGAAAAATAAGCTGAAACTGCTCAGAATTGGCTTCCTTCTCACAGGCAGGAAATCAGTCTGAGCAGAAGTTCAGCTGCCCTCAAGTGGAGCTGAGAACTCAATACAATAAACCTTCTTTGAGTATCCAAACTGCCTCCTGGGGTAGTGACAGCCACACTGCCCATGGCTGTGACAATAACTGGGACCCCCCTTTCCCTCTGTCCCCCAGGTCTCGTCACTCGGCTCAGGTATGCAGTGTCTTCGTGGAGAAAGAAGGCCCCGATCACTGCAGGGCTGAGCTATGGTATGGTACCCTCATGACTGCATGGGAATCACATTCCTCCCTGGTTAGCTGGCTGATCCTGCATATCCCCGTGGATGTTGATGAATATTCATGTGACCATAGCCATAATAAATAGCTTTCTCCAGAACTGCACTGTTCACTAGATTATCATCTTTGCCATTACCATTGGTAACTGACTGACCCGACAATGCAGGGCCTTGAGGGAGAATCCCAGGGTCTCAATGAAGTCAACATTAAATACTAAAATGAATGCTGAACAAAGGGGATGAGAGTGGGATCACAGCACAATTTGATGAAAGCTGAGTCTCTCCTGAAAGATGCCTCCATTTGAGTATTGTTGTCAACAGAATTTTTGCTGGTATCATCCTTATTGTAATTCTTGGAGACATCAAAGAAACTCAAACCCCATGTTGTGCTCAGTAGTGCACATATGTATGGCAGAAACAATCCTTCCTGAAGAACTGGATAGACAAGACAAAGGAGGGGTAAAAGGGGATGCTGTTGTTCCTACTCTTGAACATGACCTGCAGCATGGGCTAATCAAATGAGCTATCAAAGGTCAGACAGGCAATTTGAGGGAGAGACAGAAAGTCTCACACCACGTCCCATCTCCCACAAAAGCTTTTTGTTTGACATCCTACTGCTCAATCCTTACTCTTTCCCCCTTACAATCAACAGGAAAATTGGTCATTAATGCCTCTGAGCTCACCCGTGTGCAGGAGATTGGCAGTGGTCAGTTTGGGGTGGTCTACCTTGGCTACTTGCTGGACAAGACAAAAGTAGCCATAAAGACCATCCGTGAGGGAGCAATGTCTGAAGAGGATTTCATTGAGGAAGCTAAAGTCTTGATGTAAGTAGCAGATTCACCAAGAAAATCAGCCACTGTGGGATTTGTAAGATTGAACTAAAGTGTTGCCAGGAATATGAATGGGGAATTCAAACTTTGATTATCTGCTATGTATCTAAATAGTAGAGGCAGGTGAGCTCTGGCAGCTACAAAGGAAGGCAATTCAAAGTGTAGGTGAATTATTGTGCTTCAAAGTCTATCAATATCCAGAATGTTCTTCCAGATCTCTGCTGCTGAAGAAGGCAGGGTTCATTGATAGTGCATTTTGGAAAGCAAAGTGGTTTTTGTCAAAAATAATTAGATGGAGAAATATCTTACAATTTGAGGGAAATTTTATTGAAAATCTTTACCTGTAAAAATTTTTTTGCTTTGCACAACTGACTATATCCTCTTTGGTTTTATTGACTTTATTTGTATTTGTTGCATTTCCCTCCCTTCAAAGCAAACAGAAATTGATTTTGTTTTTGTTTGATTGTATGATTTTTCCATGCAGAAAAGTCTTTTGGTGACCATTACCATTGAAAAGGGATGATACTTAGACCTACTTAACATTAGACTTGGTCTACCCATGTGCAGAGCTCTCTTTGCAGAGAGCAGGGTGCAGCACGGTGGCACATGGAGCTGTGTATTAACCAGTTGCTGTAAGAATAGAAGGCACTGAGTCTATTCTTTTCCACCTTCCCTCCCTATCCCACAGGAAGCTGTCTCACCCCAAGCTAGTCCAGCTTTATGGTGTGTGCTTTGAGAACACTCCCATATGCCTGGTGTTTGAGTTCATGGAGAATGGCTGCTTGTCCGACTACCTCAGGAGCCAGCGGGGCACTTTTTCAAAGGAAACCCTGCTGGGGATGTGCCAAGATGTGTGTGAAGGAATGACTTATCTGGAACAAAACTCTGTCATCCACAGAGACCTGGTATGTTGGTCCCACATAGACTTTTTCTTTGCTCTGGGTGGATGTTTTCCTGTGCTTTCTTCCTTCCTTAATTTCAGCTTCCACACTCCTCCTACGTATTTACAGGGGATCCTGTATCTGCCCTTATTGCAGAAGCAGTACCAATACTTTGGGGGAAAAAAACCCCCAACCCCTGGATTGCTGATTAATCTATTTCCCTTAATTGTGTTTGGGAGAGAAGAAACAAGGCTATAAAGTTTTTCTTCCTTCCTGAGTGGACTCTTTTGCTTCCCAAGAGCCACAGTTCCTGGGTACTGACTCGTCTTCATGTCTAAAATCAGTGGGGAAAAAAAAAGACCTGTTTTTGCATAATTCATGTATAAACATGCATTGATGATCAAATACTTTTAATTAGGTGGTGTTCAATCAAGCTCCATTGGTCACTGTGGCTGTTTCACTAGGGAGCAAGGACTGTGAATAGCTGTGGATATTTTAGGGTCTTTCTCTGCCCTTTCTGGGCAATAAGGGCCTGAAAGTCAGATTGATGGTTGAACAACTTTTCTGGCAACAGGGACATGCTGTAAAATGTACTGAAAGCATGAGAAGCTCAGGGTTTTGTCCTCTTTGTATGGCACAATGTCACTTTGATGCTCTTTTTTAAGCACTATCTGCTCTGCCAGGATAAAAGCCACCACAGGTCAGTCTTTCAGCTCTGACCTGCTGCCTTTGCACCTTCTTTCCTTGTAGGCTGCCAGGAACTGCCTGGTGGGGGAATCCCAGGTGGTCAAAGTGTCCGACTTCGGGATGTCAAGGTAATACCACTAAGGCCGTGCACGGTCCCTGCAGGGTTGTCATGGGATGGGGAGTTACTCAGCATTCTCCCTTCTTTTCCTGTTCCAGGATTGTCCTTGATGATCAGTATACCAGCTCCACGGGTACCAAGTTTCCAGTCAAGTGGTCTGCTCCAGAGGTTTTCTCCTACAGCAACTATAGCACCAAATCTGACGTTTGGTCATTCGGTAAGAAACTTGTCAAAATGGAAGAAATTCAACAAATCCCAGCTTAGAAAACTTAAGGGCTCAGTCCTTAAGTAAACTCTTCTAAACACTATATCCTCTGGATTCTTAGGGTGTTCTACAGCTGTGCAATGCTATATCATATCAAAAAATGAACTGTGTTTTCTGCTGACATAGCAGGAGTGTCCAAGAAAAAGTTAGAGAGCCACTGACAAGATTACAGAGGAGAGGAGAACAGAGCAGAGGAAAGGGATAATATTTAGGCAGTCCATCTCTTTGCATGTCAATCCTAGGCACTGATTCCTCACTCAAACCCTCTGCCTTTCCAAGTTTGCTCTGCTGAGTCCATTTGCTTTATGCTGATCTGAAAATATAATTTCACTGCTCCCATTTCTCACCTCATTTCCTGCTCCCCAATGCATTGTTTTATGATTTGCGTCCATTCTTTGGTCTCCCTTCTGGACCCTCACAGATAAGAACACCGCTGTATATTTTCTCCCCAAAGCCATAACAAAGGCTATCCCCTGGGCTGTAGATCTGGCACACTCATGGCCCTGGCCCCTCTCCAGCCAACATGCAAATCTCTGTTACCGCAGTGAATCGGGGCAGTGTGCTGTGCACAGCACACAGTCAATGGGGTGCCACTCAGCTCCAGGCCCAGCAGTAAATAATGCAGGATTATAACCTTTCCTAGTCTGTGCTTGTGAATGCTGTGCTTTCCTTGCTTTTTGCTGTGGCTCCCATCTCTTCTGCTGTGCCTGAAGCTGTGCACTCCTGGGGTGGGCTACGAGCAGCGTGGCGGGCACTGGGTGCTCAGACACACACAGCCTCCTTCACAAACTCAGCAGGGAGATGCTTCAGAGAGCACCATTCCTCTTTCCATGTTCCCTGGCATGTGGAGGAGGCTGTCAGCACTCACCATGTAATGACAAGGGACAGCTTTTGTCAGTGGAGCTATTGCTGACACCTCACAGCGAAGTGGCAGTGACATGGGGAGAGGTGCTACTTTGGTAGGAATGTTCTTCTGCTTCACAAATCAGAAACTGGCCTGTACACTGAAAGCCAGATGCTTCCAGAGAAGGTGCTCAGATTGATTTACAGTCAAGCCAAGCCTGGTGAAGTTGGCTTACTCCAGTTTCAGATCTGAATGAAATATAGGTGAACTTTGCTTGTGTTGGTCAGTCCTTCTTTGTGAGATGTGCAGACGGTGGGTTGTACATCTGTCAGACTCGTTATCTCCCCATCTAGTGGGGTTTGCATAAGAGGATTCCTCATGGTCTCATGGCTGTGAGCAGCTTTCTGCTCTGCTACTCCGCAGCCCATTCATCTCTTCTGCCAGGTCTGAAATCCTGCTGTGCCCAGGACAACAAAATGGGTGTGAGAAGCTCCCAGTGCAGGAATCTGCACACTTGGGGAGTACAACTATTTTGCTTTTTCTTCAGTAGGGCCAGTATCAGTCTCTTTGCATCTTCCTGTTTGAAGATGTCAAAGATGGAAGCAGGAGTAATTGAGCAAAGCTGAGTGTGCAACTGTGCAACTATGGAGTTGCACAACTTTATTTCAGAACAGTCTATATATAGTCTGTCTCTCTTTTCTAACACAGTTTACTCAGTGAGGCATAATAGGTGACCAAAGAAATTAAAGCTAATAACAACCCAGATGCCTTGTATTCACTCAGTTTGCAGACCCTCTCTGACCTGGAGGCCAGCTGCAGTGTATTCAGTCTTTTTGTCTTTGCCTCTCTCTCTTCCACCACACTAGAGAAGCATGAGTTTCTGTACTGCTCTGAACAGCAATCATTGAAAAACATTTAGGAAAAGAGGAAAAATGTGCCTCAATCCTTTGAAATTCCACTATGAGTGCATGTGAATTCATCCCAGCAAATCACACCACCCAGGACATTTTTCAGGCGAGGAGTTCCCTGCACTAAGCTGGCTAACAGGAATGGAGCAGTTCATATTGCTTTACTGCTACTGAGTCTCACCAAAATTAACAGCTTTGGGTACAGGACACACTGCAGGCAGGAACATCAGTGACATGTCTCTTGTATGTGATTAACTGGAAGCAAAAATAGATAAACTGAATCAGTGACAAAAAGCAGGTTCTCTTTCCCAGATTACACATCTGGATGGAGCACATGCACAGCATTCCCTCTTCACAGTTTTGGAGAAGACATACTCTGCTTTCTGACACATAACACAGCATCTGACTCATGGGGAAAGACATCCCTGTGTGCTAGACTATGACAAAGTAGGATGCAGAGAAGTCAAACTGGTACTTCCACACATTCCAGTGCACAGCAGAGATCCTGGCTGGCATCGTAGAACTGTACAGCTGTGTTAGGGCCTGCCTGGTTTTTCAGATGTGTACTGAGAATCCAAGTGAAAACGCTTTTCCAAGTAGCTGACACCAAGGTTGAGCTGCAGAGAAGAACAGGTGGAAGGTGGCCACAGGTCTGCTGAGGATTTTATTTGCTTCTTTGTGATTTTTCTCATTTCTTTGCTTTAGGAGTGCTGATGTGGGAGGTCTTCAGTGAAGGTAAAATCCCCTACGAGAATCGCACCAATGCAGAAGTAGTGGAAGAAATCAATGCAGGATTTCGGCTTTACAAACCCAAGCTGGCCTCCAAGGCAATTTATGATGTCATGAGCCACTGCTGGAGGATGGTTAGTATTGTCATGGGAGAGTCCTAGTTCCCAAAGACAAGAGCTCTCTTTCCCTTGGCTTAAAGGAGGAGACAGAGGTGTACACATCACATGCTAACACAAGATAAAATCCTGGATGTGAAGCACTGTAGCTTTCATCTGCACCAGCAAGCAAACTCTGGTCTCTCTGCCTTTAATTTAATCTGCTGTTTCTATAGAGTGCATTGACTTCTCTAAGGAGCCCATGTAGTGCACCTAACTCTAGTTAATTCAAAAGTTTCCTTCCTAAGAAAGCTGCAGATCTGTGGGGCTGAGTTCTAACAGTGATGGTAAAAATAACAGCCAAGCCATTAGAAGGTACTTAGTGTCCACGAGACAAAATTCACTGCTAATAAAAAAGAAAAACTGCACAGAAGGAAGCTGGTTCTTCCATTGGCTTTTTCTCTATAGAGATAGATTGTATTTTTGTTAATACTCAGTTTCTTCACAAGATTTTCCTTGCTAACCTTGCCATTCCTCGCAAGCTGACAAAAATGTTCTTCCTCTCTCTTCTCTTCCCTGCTCAGAGGAAAGACGAGCGGCCACCCTTTTCTCTTCTGCTGTTCCAGCTGAGTGAAATCTCCGAGTATGATCTGTAATCATGGCACTGTTCACTCAGCACAGCTGAGAGTCCTGAGAGAAGAGAAGACTGGATTTTCCCCACACAAAGCATTAACAGGAATCCTCTCACCATAAACACTTGCCATATGCCTGGGGAGAAGAGAGGGCAGAGGCTGGTACTTCCAGACAGACAAGATATCCCCGGGTCTTCCAGAGCCTAGACAGACACAGGCTTTGGTTTGGCCAAGAATGTGGTTTGCATCTTAAAAGCAGAAGCAGCAATTGAGCACAGAGTCCTGAACCACACAATCCAGCAAAGGTATTTCTCCTGAAGATACAGCCTCAAAACTAAGAGATCTGACATTGCTGTTCCAGTTTTGTGAACTCCCAAATGAAGGTCTTCCCTGGGGAAAAGAAAAACCTGTCTTTAACTGAGGAGGAACATTTAGACATCTCCACAGCTCTCTAATACAGAGTGGGCTGGACCTGAAAGCTCTGAACATGAATAAGCCTGGGAAACATAGGAACAGTGACTGCATTTCTGACACCGATATTTTAAGGTGGTTTTGTTTTCCTTTGCATGATTTTTTCTGCAGCTGTGGCATAACAGGAACAGGATTCAGATACCTGGTAAACTGAAGAGGTGTCTGTGTGTGCACAAGAGTTTGTAAGAGAGGAAGAGAAAAAGCAACGTGCTGAAGAGTTTTGAAATTGTCTCAGATTGCACTGCATAGTGAATGAGAAAAAGGGACTCTGATGCAAATGGAGACATTCTTGGAGGGGGGGAAGTCAAAGCTGAACGTTTATATTGTTTTTTCTTCAGTCTTTCTACATCAGAAGATTAATACATGACTTCTATCCAGTTCATTTGAACAAAGCATGGAGGACTGAGCAGTGCAGAGTGCTCTGTGTTTCCAGTCCAGGACAAGACAGAGTTCTGGGATCTGATTACCTGTGAAAGGTACAGGAATCTACTGCTGAACTGGTGTGTTTGGAAAAAAGGAGCTGGAGGGCTCACAAGAGAGCCACGAGGAAAAACATGCAGAGCACATGCTCAGTGCACCGGTGATAATGAGAAGAGTTTTCTCATACTTCAAAGAGTAACTGAATCATCAAAAGTAAAGACCTTTCCATCTCCTCTGTGAACAAAGGGACTGATCAAAGAAAAAGTCCAATGCAAATGGACTGCCTGGGTTCTTTCTCCACAAGGAGTTCTCCATTATGTGGTGATGGCAGAAGAAGGTATAAACAAAATCCATCTCCTGGTATTTAAACTAAAATCTGTATTTCCACTGCAAGACAGAGACTGTTTTGGCACAACTGACCCCAAAACCAAATGTCTGGGTGTTGGTGTCCTGCAGAATTTGTAAATTTGTAAAGTGCAGGACTTTCTGTTAAGCATTAACAATAACTAGGGAAGTCAAGAGGGTTCATGGATGATATGTGCATATATGCAGGATGTATTTTTTATGCTTCTCTGTTTTGGGCAGGTGAGAACACAAGGAAACCTTATGTGACAGCAGCTTACAAAAACTCTAAGGTGCAAACTTCCAGCAGCAATCTCCTTTTACAGAATCTCCAATTACAGAAGTCAGGTTCAAATATGTTTGCCAACAAAAATGGAACAAGGAAATAATGTAATCCCATGATCTAACATATCCTGTGTTGAACTATTTCTTCACAGAAGGCAACTTTATTTTTGGTATTTTTCAGACCCATGGTTCTAGGGTAGCTTTTAGGAGCCATAATATCTTTTCAGGTATGTGGATATGGGCAAGGCATCAGTTCCTGCCTTATACATCTTCACACACTGGGGCAGGGGTTTCTGCAGGCTCACAAAGTTAAGCTTCTGGCTTGCTGCCCTCATCATCCTTGGAGGAACCAGGGGTCTGTTGAGCTTGAGGGCATTGCTATTTAGTAGCAGCAATATTGCTCTGCTAGGTGATCTTACTGAGGTTATATTTATATTTGTATATGTGTAATATTTATTAGCTAGAGTGTGTTGCACAAAACGATATTGTGATGTTTTATGTTCGTTTTTACAAACAATAAAATTGCTGAGTCCCAACAGTGGGGTTCACTATATGTTAGCAAAAATGTAAAAACCATCCTCATGCAACTATAATCATACAGTTTGCTGTTCCTCCAAATCCCTCCCACCAAGAAGCAAACAGGCTTTATCTGGCTTTCTGAAATATCTCTGTTCCCCAGAACTATGGCTGTGTTCTGGGATTAGATTACTATGAAGTATTCAGAATCTCTGCAAATTCATTAATTTACTACATAATTTACTATATGGACACCAGATTTTTAGGTCTAAACATCCATTATGGTGGCTTTAAATTCTCCTAATCTTCATAAAATGGGGGTAGTATTATTTGAGTGCTCCCAGAGGGTGTTTCCCCATGATAATTTACAGGGATCTTCAGAAATCTCAAAAGGTTAGTGCCTTACTGGGATAACTGCATGATGTCAGTGCACTGTAACCCAGTTCTCTCCCACCAGAGCAGTGCCTATGGCGAGTTCAGGTGGGTGCCCTTCATGTGGCTTCACTGGATACGTTCCCCACCAAGTAGAGGTCAGAATACCAGTCTCCTGCTGCAAAGTGAGTAACCTTTCTCTGAATACCCCTTCCCTGTCTCCTTAAAAAGCATTTGCAATCTGCTGAATGTTTAAGCCACTCCACCTTTACCCGATGGAAAAGTGTTTCAGCAAGGTGGGAGGTTGTGCTTGTCCCTATTTTCCCGCTGGGTGCACGGCTCTGCTGACGCTGCACACTTGGCTGGAGCCAAGGCCCAGAGCTCTATCCCAGCGTGTCCCCAACCTGCTGCTGCGATGGCCAGGCACAGGCACAGCCAGGCTGGCGTCCCTGCTAGGAAAAGGCAGTCAAGCAGTAACCTCATCTAGAAGGAGCAGCTGATGCTTCTCAGTGGAGACCAGGGGCTGGAGAGTGGCAGAATTAGCCATGAAAACCTCTTTCCTGGGCATGTGTTAGTCACCCCGTGGAAGTGGGGGTTGTCAATACACAATTACCTTAAAATCAGGCCTGATAAAAGTCTAGAATTTCCTGAAACATTTTTTAATGAACATGTTTTTATGTGATGTTTGGCTTTGTCCCTCTCTGAACGCTGCACTTGTCAGCGCGGACGGATTCAGGTGAATGGCTCTGCTAAATCTCACTTGGCAGCCACTTCAAATCCGTGTGTATTCTTCTGTTCAGCTCCTCCCACTATCGAGTTATCTCTCCCCTCCACCCCTCCACACAGAGCCAGCTGATGCACACACTCCTGAGTCTGTAGCTGCATGGGGCTGCTCCTTGCTGTCATACTTCCCAGCCTCCAGAGAGATCTGCAGGACAAATGCAGAGAAGCTCATTCTATTATTCTACAAGCTAAGACAACACGGAGCAGAAAATTAAAATATTATCCTAACATTAATGGAATTCCCATCACCCTGAGCCTGGCTGATAATGGGACCAGATTAAACTGTGCAAAAAAACAGTCCACAGAAGTCTTTGTTGCCACAGTTTTCTTGAACTGACCTGGTTTCACCCATGGCCTCAGAGCAATATTAGCTGTAAAATCCTTTGTGTCTGCAGTACCAGTGCTCACTTACTGAATTTTTCTGCCAAGAATTAAATAGTAAAAAGAGGAATGATGGCTACAAAATGTTCCAGTCAAAGGTGAGATAGAGTCATAGATATCACAGAATCATAGAATAGTTTGGGTTGGAAAGGACCTTTAAAGGTCATCTAGTCCCACCTCTAAAGAAGAAATGCTATTCAGAGGAGAGAGAAGGGTCTACTCCCAGAGAGGATATTAATACATTTTTTCAGGTGTAGTCCTCTCCTGTAAAACAAAGATAGTTCCTAAGACTGTCCTGCTGCTTTTCTAGTTTACAGGCCCTGGTGCCTTTAAGCCCATTGCATCCGTTCGAATCACAGTAGCAGAACTGCAGAGTAAACTGGTGTCCAAGCTTCCCTGCGGAGTCAACATACACCCACAGGGAGCAAGCTCAGCCCCTCACTAGCATAGGCAACAGTAGCAGTCTCTAAGGAATCAGAGGGGTCACTAATCCAGGAGGGGCAAGATAGTCCAGTTTTAGCATAGGCTGATGCTCAGGAAAGGAACACTGCCAGGGCCACCAAGGAGGTACATCTAGACCTGTATCTAGACCTCCATCAGTCCTAGGGTATCCACCAGTGTCTTTCAACAAGATAGTTCTATACAGGGCTTGTGTCAGTCACCACGAGGCAGTGTTCCTCTGGAAGCTGTGAGAGGTCCAGTTTGGATTTCACAGTAGATCAGAAGGGCTGTATTAGAGCTTTAAAAAGAAATATGAGCAGAAGGACTGGAAACCTGTCCCTGAAGAAAAGCCAGATGCCAAAAATGCCAAAAGGAAGACCTTTTGGATGTGGTGCTGACTCAGAAGTGGATTGGCACTCCGAGCAAAGGCACTGCCTTCTGGTTTTGGCCCCCAACATTCTCAGTCATCCGAGGCTCCATATGTATTCTATACCTACATGTATTCTGCAAACGGCATGTTTGTTAAGATGGTAGGTTAAACTTAACAATGGTCCTCCGAGGGGCAGAGTGGCTGAACACCCGATACCCAGCAAACACAGCAGCAGGGAGATGGGGGAACCCAGCCGGGTCCTGCCTCCTCAGGGACCCAAACCCGTTCTGCCAGCACCAGACCTCCGAGGGGCTGCAGCAGCTGCCCCCAGCCTTGTTC